GTCCCTCCTTCCTCCCGGCTCCTTTCACTCTCTCAACACGCAGGGAGCCACCGCCGACCTTCTCAAGGCTGAGTTTCAAGACGAACTCGTCCCTCTGCGCACTTACGCATACGATCAGATCGGGCCCCACGAGGACGCTGAGCGGGTATAAGTATTATGGAGGCCGCGCGGCTCATCGACTTCACCTTCATGCGACGTCACAAGTACAGCGCCAACGAAGTCCGCAGCCTCGCCGTCTTCCCCTTCATCTCGGAGGAACAAGTCGACAAGCTTCTCACCGAAAAAGACGACTACTATGTCGCCGCCCGCGTGACGGACAGAGACTACGATTTTTGGCAGTTCTGGCAGGACCACAAAGAGAAACTCCCGACGTGGTTCGCCGTAGTGTTGGACATTGCTCTAGTGCAACCCTCGTCGGCTTTCATGGAGCGCGTGTTTTCGACAGTACACTCTTGCTTAGACTCAAGTCAGAACAGCTGCTTGTCAGACAGGATCATGGCTGCCGCCCTCATCAAGTACAACCGAGGAAGGGATAGGCATTCTCTGAAGCTGCGGTATGACAAGGAGGAATTAGCAGAGGAGAAGGAGGGGGAAGCAGAGGGGGAGGAAGAGGAGGGGGACGGGGAGGAGGAGGAGGAGGAGGAGGAGGGGCCTGGCGGTGGAGGGGCTAGCGCGGAGGCGGGGGTGGTAGACGTGGACATGAGCGAGGGGCAATAGACGACATGAGAGATGAAACACGAAAGAGTAGGCTTCGGAGGCGTATGGTATGAAATAGTACTCTTTTTCTCAATGATGACTAGTGATAAACCGGTCCATTACTGCGACTAGACACAGAGTTATTTACTTCCAAAGAACACAGATAAATGGACGAGCCCCGATCCATCTTGCGCAACAAGCATAGGATGCACGAGAGGGTGTTAAAAGGGTACCTGTACGGGCTAGTACGGGCACACATTGGGGTGGCCGAAAAAAAAAATGGGGTGGCCGAAAAAAATTTGGGGTGGCCGAAAAAAAAATTGGGGTGGCCGAAAAAAAATTGGGGCGGCCGAAAAAGGAAAAAAAGCGCCCGAAAAAGAAAGGAAAAAAAGCGGCCGAAAGAGAAAAAAAGAGCGGCCGAAAAAGAAAAAAAAAACGGCCGATGGAGGACAGGCCTAGCTCTTTCGGCCGCGGCCGACCGAGGAGAAGCCTAAAAGATTGCACACAACTCCACGGTTTCTCATTGGTCTACCAAAAATATGCGGGGCAATTCCATTGTACCAGTTGTCTGGGTGTGGCAGAAGGCGAGACCAAAAAAATTCCGACGCACACATCCATACCACAGATACGCAGCGAGATCTGCAGCTGTTGCCTGGAGGATCGGCTGCCACACGGACACAAGGAAGGTAAGATCATGTACGGGTGCTAGAAGAGGGGGTGGGCGTCATCCAGTTTGCGAAGCGGTGGCCCCGTACCTATCATACGTGCGGTACGTACTCATCATCTTATGTGAAAACAGCAAGATTACCAGCAACACCTGCTGCGATTCATCATCTCCAGCCTATGCTGCTGCACGCCCGGATCCCCTATGAGAAGCTGGTGCTTCCGGGATTGTCATTGTGTTGCCTGGTTTGGCTCCAGGGCTACTGCTGTACCTGTGGGTTGTGCGCCTCTCTCTGCGGGTGAAACGCCGGCGATGGTTCGTGTGTTCGTCCCTGCTGTAGGCTGTAGTCTATCGCTGATGCGCAGATTCCGTCATGTAGAATGCCGCTGATGCCGCCCTCTCTTCAATCGGTCAGTCACCAGGGTTGTTATGCCTGCCTCGCGAAATTGAACTCTCTCAAGTAGCTGCTAACAGTGACAAGCAGTTTGTAGAGCCTGGGGTGGCAAGCCGTGCAGCAGTCAGGGTCGCAAACACACCTGTTCTGGCACGGCCTCGGCTCGTTGTCAAAGTGGACCGTTCTTTATCGTGGGCACGTTCTTTTTTTGTATTTTGGCACCATGGGATGCGTCTCGTGTGTGAAGCACACCTACCCCCGCACGACGTATGCGTGTGAGGCCGATGAGTATTGCCCCTACCCCATCAGGACTTATACTACCGCTAACGTATTTTCGCTTCAAGTCACATGCGGCAAAACTCGGTGCTCTGGGTTGATTTACACACTTGGCCCATGTTGAGTTGAACATCACAGGAGTTCATCGTATCGACCAACGGTACTGCTGTGATGACGACACATTTCCTGACCTTCCTTGCGTAAACCCGGCAGCGTTCGTTTGCATCGCGTGTCATGGTTTCCTCGAGTGTTCCCTACAGACTTCCGTGCCGCTGAAGGGCTGAAAATTAACCTTTGCTGATCTGATTCCCCCATCCCTCTCCGGCTAATCTGAATCTGAATATCTGAATCTTGCTGGCGGTGATGTGTGAATAGAACAGAACGACAAATAATGCGGGAGTGGAAATACGACTGCGGTGCGTATCCAAACGTCCAAACTCATTGGTCAAGGTGACTGTTCAGGTGGCCGGCAGCGACAAGGGTTGTTTAGGGAAATAAAGGTTTCCTGTAGCCGCAATATTATGACGGGGGGGGGAGAGCGGCGATCGAGAGATTTGACACAAGGATCGGGCAGGCGCACCGCGCGCGCCGTAACACCACTGAAAACGCTATTATTTAATAGTAATAGCTGCCAGACGCACGTCCGTTGTTTGTCCACACCAAGACATTGTCCGTGGCACCCTCGTCGTCAACTGCCGCTGTTTATGCACTGCTGTGTCTTTTTACACCACACAATGATCACACATGATAACAACGGGGACAGCAGTAGAATGAGCGCAGCAGCAGCGCTAAGTCCTCCAATGCGCCGATTCTCTCGGTCCGGCCGTCTAGCTCATACTCACGGTTACGACTTGGTGTGTGTTGTGTATTGGGGGCTCGGGTGCTAGTCGTGAGATTTAAGCGGGAAGATTCGAGGTGTGACACTGCGCCCTGCTCCCGATGCTGAAAACTGAAAACAGCAGGCCGAGTGGGGAGGGTCTTGCAAATTGTTGGTGTGATGTCCTCACTCCGTGCCGGGTGCTTATTTTCGTGCTTGTACCGCTGCTCCATGGTGAGCGAAGCCAGGACCTGTTGTATGTCGAGCAAAGAGTGTTCTGTCAAAAGAAAAGAAAACGATGACATCACGATAGTAGCAACACGAGACATTCTCGGACCCGATCCGTGTTGAATTTAAATGGAACAGGTTGTTTTGTGGTTTCGTTTTTGTTTGTTCCGACAAGAACGGGCCTCAAGATGCAGCAAGGTTGAGAATCTCCGCGTTGTGAGCTGTAGAGATGTGATCTATCATCGTGCACAGCAAGCGACATACGTTGTTATCGTATGGCTTGCAGCGCTGCTATTCAAACGACCGATCATCACGGGAAGAGTTTTCGCCTGTAAGTTATGATGGTATTGTATTTTCGTCGTGCAAATGCATGTATCTTTGTTTATATTATAGCAAATGCAACTTGTTCCCACCATGACCCATGATCTCAGTTGGTCCTTACGACGAACACAGAAGACTATCTGTTGACCCAGCCGCGGAGTCTGATCGATTTACGCGAGTTCCTCGCTCCGACGAATGTACTCTCCCTCCCTCCCTCTCTCTCTTGCTCTCTCTCTCTCTCTCTCGCATTTCTCTTCGATCGTGTCTCCTTGTTCCTGTTATATTGGTGCATCACGGGCTCGTTGCCCCCGAAAACTCAGTCAAACTGCGGCGGGGAAATCACTTTGTTCATTCTCTTGTCAACGCCCTTCCCCCGCCATTTCCCTTGTCTGGTCTCGTCTACGGACAGAGGAGTTGTTCTTTCGAGCTGGGTGAAGACATGGAGACTTGGCGAGATATGGAGGTCGCCGTCCCGCAGGGAGACTTTGGAAGCAGCAGCAGCAGCAGGGCCGCCGGCGGCACCGGCGGTAGCAGCGGCGGTGCGGCGTTGGCTCCACCCGGGGTGTTCGTTTTCGGAGGCGCGACACCTCCTCCGCTGCCGCCTTCGTCTACGGGGATGCAACAGCGGCAGCAGCAGCAGCAGCAGCAGCAACCGCTGCAGCAGTGGCAGATTCAGGCTCAGGCGGAGCAGAGGGCTGGGGGTCGTGCACGGGTGTCGTCGTCGTCATCGTCGTCCTGTTCCGCATCCTCCTCTTCCCTCCGACGCAAGCGAGGATCGACGTCGTCGTCAAGGACCCGCTACGCCATCCCCCACACTACCGGCGGCACCGCCGCGCCGCGAGCGGTAGCGGCGGGTCAGGGCGGGGCGGGTGGTCTCGTCGGTGTCGGTGTCGGGGGCGGCGGCGGTGGCGGCGGCAACGACTGCAACAGCGGGTACGTAGTCCGCACCCGCAACAGCTTCGCCTCGAGCGCGTCGACGACGACGGAGAACGCTGGCCGTGGCGGCGGCGGCGGTGGCGGTGGCGGCGGTGGTGGTGGCGGCAGGAGTGGCAGCAGCACGGACGCAGCGGCAGCGGTGGCTGGAGCGGGAGAAGGAGCGGGGGAGCAAGGACTACCTGTGCAGCAGCAGCAGCAGCAGCAGCAGGGTGGGGGTAGCGGGATGACGGGCGGAGGCGGGAGATCGTCATGGTCTCGTTTGGACCGCGCCGTGAGTTTCGGCTGTCGTTTGAGGTGTCCACGGTGTGTGCGCGCTGTGCAGCGGGCGTAGTACTTCGCGCATGTTTGTTGGAAGGCAACGCTAGATAATTTGGATGCCGAGACATGTATCTCTTGTCAACGCGAGCGAACGCCCGCGGCTTGCGCGTGATTTTCGTGCTGGGTGAGTGGACTAAACATTCCCGACGCGGCGTAGTGGATCGTGTTTATCTCATCCCCGGCGTGCTTGTGAGGCCAGTGTACATGTTGTGCGCGGCGCGGGGGCGGGCTTGTGCACGTTCATCTTCGGCTTATTTTTGTTCTCTTCCCCACAATCTCATCAACAAGTACCAAACGCGGCCGTGTCTGTGACTGCACTTGTGCCTTTCTCTCGCAGGCTGCCCTACGACAGCAGCAGGAGCGACTTCTCCTCCTCAGGCATGCCAGCAGGTGAGCGGAGTAGAGGAATCGGACCGAGCAACTGGAGTGCCGCGTTATTGCCGACGTTCTTCCAGCTCAAGAGCGTTGTCTGCCGTGTAGCTGTGGGGTACCCACGGGTGTGTGCCCTGCCCCTAGTCTGATGACCGAATCCACGTTGGAGACATGCCAATGCCATTATGTGGAAACCTTTCAGGTGCCTGCCGTGGAATCAGCCGGCGGTGGCGTTTTCGCGCGTAGATATTTGCGTAGACGTGCCGGTGGGGCCGTGTGTGTGCGAGCCTCGAAGATGCTTGCGATCAAAGTGTGTTTCTTGGGCCTTCGTGGGCTGGGAACAGAAGGGCAGTCAAGCACTGAAACAGGCGGGCGGGCCCGTCACCGCATCGGCACAACCCCCTTCCATATCTCTCTCCCTCTCTCCAATAGCTACAATTCCCTCATGAGCACAATATTCCAACCATAAACCAACAATTTCTCAATTCTAGTCTCCGTCTCATACACATCTCATGACCTTGTTTGACGACATCTCAACCAGAACAAAACCTAATCCTGCTTCCAGATCCAACGTTCTCAAGTCCATTCCATCACGCATCAACACAAATGCTGCGATTTAACTACCCCAACCCGTCTTACACTCACTGAAACTAGGGTTGACTTAATGCACGACATGTCGGCATGCGCATTACCGCGCCCGCGCGCGGCTCCCGCCCCCCCCGACCCTTATTGACCCAATAACACGCGGGAGCATTGTCCCCCCGCATGAGGATCCCTTCTCTAGAGTACTGCGGACGATTGCTCGAACCCACAAACGACCACGCAGTGATCATCATGGCAGACAACTCGACGGACAATGAGGGGAGCATCCCCGAGCCCATCTCTTTCTGTCTCTCTCTCTTTCTTTCCCCCTCTGACGATATTCCGTGGGAACTTGCAACTTTCTGGAGGTTTTCCTCACTGCTCGAAACGAAGATGCAGAGATGTGCTGCGTGGCCTGCTCTCTCCCCCGGCAGCGGCATGTTGCACGGCAGCTCAATTTGAATTTCAGCTCACCAACTCTGCAAGATGCGCCGGTTCTTCGCTTGTCGAACGCAATGTGTTCTTAGGTTAAATCGCCAAGGCTGTGCGCCCTGTACCCACCTATCCCTCCTCGATGTGGAAAGCCCAAAACCAAGAGTCCGTGCACTTTCGGTGTTTGGAATATGCCGAACCTCCAGACGACGTTCCCAGATCTAGCGCAACCTTCCGGAGGAGATCTCTGATTCTGGTTATTCCCCTTGCTATTGGCGGGTTTCTCCCCTCCCAACTAAAACTGTAACAGGTGTCCTTTTCGCGAGGAAGGCCAGTGTCCAACGTCGCCTCACTGCCTGGTCGTCAAGGTGCTGTGGAGGCACATCGTCCAGTGCATGGACGCGTCGTGCATGGTGAGTGCGCTCTGTGTTTCTTGTCTTTTCGGAGTTGCGGTGGGATTGATTTAGAGAGAAAAATATCATGTCGCTCTGTCACCGGGCTTGCAAAGTTTCGCCGCATGACCACATGGCACCAGCGTGCCCGATGCGTTTGGTTAGTACAGTGTCTGGACCTTGTCATACAAGTAGGTACGTTTCTTGCTAACAGCTTAATGTGTTTGTGAACGAGAATCCTTTGCTTCCCGAGTTGACGTCGTCAATCTCGTGCGAATCGAAAACAAGTTCGCTCCAAATCTCTAGCACTGATTGTGGTCTATCCTGCATCGCGTGCCTTCCCTGGAACAAGTTTTCCCCCCTTTTGTTTCGAAACTAGTGTCGGGGTGTGTCTCTTCTCCCCCTTTGCTACGAGTTTCGAGGGGCATGTTGTCTCTTGCAGCAACGTGGTCGTGTGCGATTTCAAAACGAAACGCGTCGCGTGAGCGTGCCGCGATGAGGGAGCCAAACGGTCTCGTGCGCGTAAGGGTTTATTGGTCAGCACGTGCTTCATTGGTGGGGCGCGCTCCTGTTGTACCTATAATGCCATCACTGCTTGAAGTGAGTTCCGTGCAGGATTTCGTCTCGCTTCGTACCGCGTGGCGGCAACGAAGTTCAAACGAGCTGTTTTTATCGTCCGCGTGCCATCGTCAGTCCTCAGCCAACACCCTTGAGTATATGAACGTTAATCGCATCGTCGAAGACACGTGATGTCAATTGAATTCGTTCTATTCTGAGCAATACTTCATGTTTTTTTAGTACGCCCTTGAATATTTTCTGCGAGATGTGGTATTTTTTAAGACGAAGTACTTGGTTGTTTTTCAAATGTTTTCGTCTTGCCGTGTGTAAGAGCGTTCGTTCCTCTCATCACCACGCTCCCCTTGTTCTCCCCTTGTTACGTATATTCCCGTAGTATTTTCGTCACCGTAAGACCATGCCATGACGAAACCAAACCATACGATTTGAAACCGTCGTCGCAACAGGTCCCACACTGCGCCTCGTCGCGCTTCGTGATGGGGCACTACCACAAGTGCAAGGAGCCCAAGTGCCATCTGTGTGGCCCCGTGAGGGCGATCATCTCCAGGGAGAGAGACGAGCAGCGTCTCTTGGGAAGAACTGGGTCGTCGGACGATGAGGACAGTAGCGACGATAACGATGACAGCGGCGGCGGGGGTGGTGACGATGGACGTGGTGGCGGAAAAGACGATGAAGATGATGACGATTTATAGGTTGGGGCGTTTTTCGCCCTCCTTGGGTTCACGAGGTGGCTGTTGCTGCTCTTTGTGTTGCCTGTTTCAATGTTCATGTGTGCTGTGCATGTCGAGGGCGTGCCGACCCAGTTGTGTTCGTCGGCGACAATTAGCGGTGGTGTTGAAGACGAAATGCGTTCCGCGGTTGTGCATGGTAGGTGTTGTCAAGTTACAGCTAACGGTTGCTTGGTTCGACCGGATTATTGCGGCTAAGGCGTGTGTGTATGATAACGGCTTAAACCTGTGTAGAAGTGTTTGAACGTTTGTTTGCCCGATGAGGCTCACGAATTGACTTATTTGCGGAGCTCTCTCTGTGCTTGTCCAGACCTCGTTGACTACTTTCTTGGTCCGACCCCTCAGCTATGTTGAAAGGCTAAAAATAACACGGGGTTTATTCTGCCGGGCACCTATTTTCCAAACTCTATTTTTTATTTTTTGGGTACAACGATCGTAAAATCCGCGACGCCCTAGAAAATGTTTTCTTGTGATCGTTTCTTATTGCGGTCGGGCTTTGTTATTCTCTCTCTCTTTCGCTCTGCTTTTATTTTCGGAACCATCCGACTATTCTGTTTTTCGGTCTTACGTTAACAATTTACGACCCGTCTTCCCTCCTCCTTTTTGTTTTTGCCGAATTCAACGTGGCCGGAAAAGCTTGTGTAGCCAGTCAGGCATGTCCTGCTCTCCAGCAAATCTGACGTTCTTTGTTTTGTTGTCGGGTGCTCCTGGTGGAGGGCAAACGAGACACTTGTTATCTTCCTGCCTTCGGTCTGGTTGGTGTGTCCGCAAGTCCTGTGCTGAGAGAGGCCCAGTCGGGGTCTGGTGATTAGTACAACGGTCGATATGATTACGAGTCGTCGCGTGTTTGCAAGTTGTTTTTCAAGTGCACGGTGGTTTAACTGTGGATGAACTACACCTACCGTACCATGCGAGTCATCGCACAGGCCATGACGCCGGCCTGTGTGGTGCATATCAAGCCAGAAAATGGTAGACAGGTGTGTTTCCGGTTTTTGTATCGCGATTTGTCGTCGGGACTCTCCACCGGTTTTGTTGCAGGTGCACACGTATGATAGTCAAACGGCGACCGCACCTCTCGTCGCAGAACGCACGGTGTTGGTTCGTTCGGCAGTTGCTCCTGAAAAATAAAATACTTCTTCAAAACACGACCACACCTTGTGTTGCCTCAACGCACAAGCAATCACGCGGCCTCTTCTTTGTAAGAAGAGACGGATAAAATACATTATACTGCTCCATCCCTTGTGTCTCTGAGGCATCCTCTTAAAAAATAAAAGCGCGCTTTGTTGTAATTTGTGACACTAATCGTATGCTATCTACTGCTGCGAGCAGATTACATTAATATTGATAATATCATCATTGGGACGGCGGCCATGATTTTCTTTCGCCAGTCTTCGCCACCTGTCGTGCGCAGTCTTCACACGCATCACCCTCCCTTTCTGCCTAACCCTGAAGGTGGTGCCCGAGCCGTAACGGGCAGAAAACTCATGAGTCCAAGCTGAACATTCCGAGTATGGATATTTGTTTGAAAACTGGGCGAGAATAGGAGCGTTGTCGCCGCCGAGGTCCATTGTCCGTAAGCATGACAGGCATTGAAACTTGTCCGCCATTTCATCTGCAAAATATAACACGGTGCATACCGAAGAGGGAGATCACGGCAGGGGCGATTGAGAAAATAAACAAGAAGTAGCAGGTAAAGAGTGTACAGGAAATGTAGGGAGGCGTACATAACAAGCACGTTGAAGGGTTGGAGTATGGCAGATTAGAACGAGCAAGGGAAAAACACGCATGCATACCATTCACAACAGATGAAAACAACCTTAATTTCAATCGTCTCCGCACCCTGATGTCCATGTTTGATCGTATGGCCTGCTGAACAACCCAATTATAGCTGTTGATGTGCGTGGATCCGCGGCGCACCCGTATGATGAAATCGTCGTCGTCGTCTTCAAAAGGGACGTTGTCTTCAACTGCCTTGGCGCGGGCGGCGGAAGCTCTTAGAATTTCTCCTTGCAAACGTAAAGCAGCGGTTTGATCGTTAGGTCCGTCTACCTCTACCCTCACGCCGTCTATCTCCAGCGTACCGTCGGAATAAATGACGGCCTTGCCGTTGTTCACACCTCCTCTCTCGCGCATAGGCTGGCTTTCCGTCAACGCCGAAGCCAAATCGACACTCGGCCCCAGGGAGCGGTAGTCCATCCGATCCTTTTTTGGCATATTTTGTACACGGGCGTGTACATCCATGCAAACACGCCACCCATGCCAAGGAGGAGGCGTCTTCAGCTATGCACGAAAGACACGCAGGGTTTTCTCCGAATAGACGCTGGATGTTAATTGCAGGAATAGGAGGACAGAACGAAACCTTGCGCTCGTCTTTCCAAGCCTCTCGTGTGTGAAGTGGCTCCGGCCATTCCTCTGCCGAAACGACGTCGCTCTGGTTCTGTTGGGCGATACCCTCGTCAAATGGCGACGCGTTGGGTAGCATAACATTGTTGTACACTGGCTCAGATGCGTTGAGGAGGCTGAACTCTACCTCTTCGAGAGACATGACCTGGTTGTATATTAGTCGTCCGATGTAGTACCTGTTAAACAGAAACGCGTAATAACATACAACATATCGACATATGCAAATAGAATGCTGTGTAAACACAAGAAGCCATAGATAATAGACAAAACAAAAAACATTGTACTAATCAACGATTCCGGATGGTGCGAAAAATGCATACAATACTTCCTGTACTCTCGCTAGTTTGGCGTGTTTCTTCAGGCTGCGCCCAATGTCGTCCCGCAGTTCCCGACTCGTGAAGCCGTGCACCCATACCATCAGATGGCCGTGAAGCATAAGACGATGCTGCTCTTCGGTCATTCCGATATATGCTTTGATGTTGCCTAGCGCCCCACCATCGCCATCCTTTGCCCCAAATCTCAGAATGTACTTTACCACGGCTTCCATAGTTTCATGGAAGAATGTGGCCGAAGCCACGGGGTCGTTAACGGTTATGTCCAATCGTTTTCTATACTCTGGCATTTGTTAATGGCCTGTCGACGATAGGTCGATGTCATCACCTCCGCATTGCATGACGCAAGGGCTGTTGACATCTGAAGGATTCGCTGTCATCCAGAAGAAAGGCAATCCGAACTGAATAAACATGGAATGTGCTGTCGCAAGCACCCTGTGCTTTCCGTGGTCCGTCCACGTCGCGTCCCCTGAAACGGCCTGCGTTTTCCGAAAGAGAGCTCTGATCTCGGGTCTGTTGTTTTTAAGCGCGCTGGTTCTTTTCCCAGACTTGAGTTCATCTGCCATGCCATGTAGATCCTCTTTTGTGATAGAAGCTATTGCGTTTGCATCTGTAGAATTAGGTCGCACGGACAGCTTGAATCGAACATTTGAAATCGCTTCATGTCTGAAACGAATTGCGGCTGCGCAACACAAAAAACAACGATCAACTCTCCATGCAATGTCTCCCCGATTGAGCAAAATCTGGATCCATCTGTTGAACGATACCGGGTTTCTACGCGTAGGACACAAAGGCCCGCCACAGCCTCCCGGGAACGCGTGCATGAAGCCTTCTACCCATGCCGAGTTGTTGTTAGAATCGTCCAGGATTTCACCGTGTGGCACAACGAGGGCGTTGCTCGTACCACCAGGTGGAGGCCGTCCTCTACGCAACGCCGCCTCCGCGTCAAGCTCGCTGCCTAACGTTCTCATCGCATCCAGAAGTCTTTCAGCCGATGTTGCGGTGTCTTCACCAGGATCCACCACCGCGTAGTTTTGCAAAACACACGCCTTGCCGTCCTCCACGTCACCTCAAACCTGCTCATCGTCACCTTCATCGCTGCTGGAACTTGTTGGAGAGCTGTCGTCGCTCAGATTGACTTTCTCAGTGCCGATTTCGTTGCTATCTCGAACGTAGGAAGAAGACACGCTTGCGCGCACATTCAATGGATCATTCGATGTCAGAATTGAATCCAACAACACTTTTGGGATAGCTCCATCCTCGCTGTACGAATCGAGGCTCTCTTCACTGAAAGGAAGATATTTCGCCAGGGGAGAACTGACGACAAGTTTGACTTTGAGCATGTAATTGATGGTGTCCTTAATCATTGATTTGCGGGCACCCAATAGACGCCCAAGATCGGACGGTCTCCGTTTTTTCTTCCCCGCTAACACCACCGTAATCATGTCCACCAGACCAGTCACCGCCAGAGGCAACTCGTTCGCGACAGAGCTGGAGTTTGCGTAGAACACAGATGTTCCTCGCATAGATCTCTTGGCCGTTCCAGGAATGTTGTTCACACGCCTTGATTCCAATGCTACAACGTGACCCTTTGTGCGAATTGGGTACGCTGCGGCGTGCTCGACGAACGTCGCCTTTTGCAGCCTATCGGGTAGGGTACCGACCCAAAACGCGTTCGCCAATGCAGCATAAGGTCATTTATTCCTCGCCAACGACCGGTAGCCTTGGTCGCAAACATGTATCTTGCATGGTTCCTCTGACTCGATGCCGTACTTACTTAGAACGAGGATATCTAGCTGCCGCGAAAAGTTGCCATTACCCTCTCACTTGCTGATATCACGTGATGACGTCGTACCAAAGTCAGCCTTATCGCACACGGCACAGGGTGACCTGTTGACAACTTTTTTTTTTGAGCTCGATCTCAACGTGTGTTGAAAAGGTTATAATATGGTGTGTTCTATGTAGCCGTCCGCCCTTTTTGGGGCCGGGCAGCCCCCTTCTCCATAGCTATGTACTGTACTTCAATCGTGCTGCTGACACTCACCGCCTGCTACCCGCAAACATATGGTCGCGAAAGTCCTGCAGTACTTGCAGAAGAGTTTCCGCGCGAATAGGAGTCACCAATTTTACGCTATCTCTGCACGTTTTCTTGACCTTCTGTTGTCTCTGTCGCCGTTGTCGGGATCTCCCTGTTGATAACAATCCTGTCCACTTCATCACTGCCGGAACTACCACCATCATCCACGTCATAATCATCGACAACCATATGGTCGCATCTACGCCCTCGTTCGTACCTGAACAATCGACGCGCATCCATTGTTTGAATTGTGACTGTTGTTGTCTACAAAGTGCAGTCTGCCGTATTGCACCATAACGTTATTAATGGCGTGTATACCTACCGGCGCCGGCGAAGTCGATCGTCGCCTTCGTCCATATGTGATAGATACTCTTGTGTACGTTGTCATTGTTCCATCTATTGCTCCACGAATGGAAATATGCTAATGAGAAAGCTGCGGGTAAGTCAGACTTAGATTTTCGCAAAAGTAAGGACGTGCGGAGGCTGGATGGCGAATGCCACACAAAATTCTGTATGTTTGGACGGTAGTTGGCTCTGGTCTCACACAAGAAAGTCAGGTTGGGCCCGATTTCTGGTTCTAATCAGCGGGCTGGAACCGTATATACAGGCGGCGGAGTTGTTGACGCACATCATCGGAATTTTCATTAGCGGTGATGAGGTTTACAAGCCGCAGGTTTCACCAGCGGTGTCGGGGCCTACAAGGCACGGTCAGCTATGAGGTTCTTCTTGTCCATCTCACCTCCAGGATTCGAGAGTGATCCGTATATACCGCAGCCATCGTGCGCGTGCAATCCGGGTTTCCTTCTCACCATCTCCCGACGAATCCCCTCGGACGTGTGGTGTGTTACGCCTGGATTGGGGCACCGAAACCAGGGGTGTTTGTGGTGTGAAACATGATTGTTTCGGGCCATCTTGGTACACTTATGTACTAATCGAACAAACTCCGCACTTCGTGGCTCATATCGTTCTAGTGGTACGCGTGGGGTAAAAAGCAGGCCACATCTGGAATTTTGAGGAAAACTACTTGAACAAAGCGTTTTGGCGCGGAAGCTGTGAGAGATCATCGCCGCGTTGAACCAGACGGGTCGAGACGAGACACACCCATATATCTATCGCACTTACGTGCAGCTCTGGGATCTGCGTGCTCCCCCTATCTACCAGGATGTAGTCGAGGATTGAGTATTCATTGCAAAACTGCCCGTTGCCTGGTGAACTCCGGCGTATCGCATTCCCTCCTATCGTTCAATAACACCATCAGTTCGTTGCTTCCCAAGAATTCAAGCATCCTCACTCCGTTGTCATTCACTTTGTCTTCTCCGTGCTGCCCAATTGCCTGTCCTCTACTGGAAGCTTTCCCTCCTCCGTAGTTGTAATCGCCCATCATGACAACTTCTCCCTTCCTACTGGACCTCTGGACATCTTCCCCAATTTGTCCAAAGTTCTCCTGCGCCTTGCTTGCGACTTTCTTCGACGACGGTGGGACGTATACGTTCCCTAGAAACAAATCTTTCTCACCCCGCTCCCCAGGTGTCTTAAGCCATAGGCGTTCCGCGAACTCCGTTTTCACCACTACTTCCACCACGTCAAACAAGTGTTCCTTGACCAGGAATCCGACTCCCCCCTCCCCCCTTTTGTTCGGGTCTAAGCCCTTTCTTGCCTTCCCTACCCACCGGTATTTCCCTAGTTTGCTTACCACGTCCCCATCCTTCAATTCCCACGTCTCTTGGATCCCCACTACATCTAGATCGCTTTGTTGTACTTGGTCCACTATTTCCAGCCGCTTGCGCTCACTCCTTGCGAACCCGCACACGTTTCACGACCCGACTCTCAGCTTGTACTTTTCCATATTGGAGATTCTGCGCACTCTATCGTTCGCCTTCCGCTTCTGCTCGGACTCCTTCTGACTTGCCTGCTCGCCTCCCTCGCTCGGTCCTTTCCTCGCCTCCGTCGCCCTCGCCTCTTGTCTCCTTACCTT